GTGCAAACAATGTCTTAAAGGTGAAAATTTATACAGTTAAAAGTTTACACCCTGCCACACATATTGTGGCAAATTTGAAAAATTTTAAAGTAATAGTCAGCAAACAACAACCAATCAGGGCCAAATTCAAGACACCTAACTCCAAAGATGCATTAAAGGACATTGACTACAGTAAAATTATCTTTTCATAAATTTTATTTTCAATTTAACAAATCAGGAGAAGATATAAAGTTTAAAAAATTTCTTAATTAAAAAAAATTTTAACTTCTTTCAGTAAGGTGAAGACATCAGAAAAAATTCCTAGGGCAGCAACTGGTGATTTGCTCATATAGCTCACTCATGACTATCAGTTTCAAATCACTTTACTTTGATCTCTGCCTCATCTTTCTTCTCTTTTGTTTTGGCCTAAGACATCAGTATACATGTTCTGGAACAAAAATTTTCTTCGGGGGCATAAATGTTAACAAGAATGAAATCATACCAAGTATCTTTACCAACCACAATGGAATGAAATGACAAACCAGTAACAGTAGGAAAACTAGAAATTTCATAAATATATGAAAATTAAACAACACATTCTTGACCAACCAAAAGATCAAAGAAGAAATCACAAGAGATTAGAAAAAAATCTCAAGATAAGTGAAAATGTAACACAACATACCAAAACTTAAGGGATGCAGTAAAAGAAGAACTAAGAGGGAAGTTCACAGGTGTAAATATGTACATTAAAAAAGAAAGAAATCAACAACCTAACTTTATACCTCAAGGAACTAGAAAAAGGAGAACAAACTAAACCCAAAGTTAGCAGATGGAATGAAATAATAAAGATTAGAGCAGAGATAAACAAAATAGAGAATAGAAACACAATAGGAAAAAAAATCCAAGAAACTAACAGTTGGTTTTTTGGAAAGATCAACAAAATTAACAATCCCTTAGCTAGCTAACTAAGAAAAAGAAAAGAGAAGACTCAAATAAGTAAAATCACAAATGAAAGAGGGGACATTACAACTGATGCCACAGAAATAAAAAGGATCATAAAAGAATACTACAAACAACTATAGGCCAACAAATTGGATAACCTGGAAGAAATGGATAAATTCCTAGAAACATACAACCTACCAAGACTGAATCATGAAGTAATAGAAAGTCTGAACAGATCTATAACTAGTAAGGAGATTGAATCAGTAATTGAAAACCTCCCAACAAAGAAAAATCAGGACCAGATGGCTTAACTGGTGAATTCTACCAAAAGAAGAATTAATGCCAATCCCACCAAAAAATTGAAGAGATGGAAATACTCCCAAACTCATTTTATGAAGGCAGCATTACCCTGACCTCAAAGCTAGAGAAAGACACTACAAGAAAAGAAAATTATAGGCCAATATTCCTAACGTATATAGATGCAAAAATCCACAGCGCAGTGGTTGAGAGTCCACCTGCCGATGTAGGGGACACGGGCTCGTGCCCCGGTCCGGGTGGGTCCCACATGCCACGAAGCGGCTGGGCCCGTGAGCCATGGCCGCTGAGCCTGCGCGTCCGGAGCCTGTGCTCTGCAACGGGAAAGGCCACAAC